CCCCCCCCCCCTTAGTACGCCCCCTCTGTCTGGGCTTGAGCTCTCGGCTCCATCGCATCGACGCATGTGCATCTTGATTGCAATCGTCCCCAGGGCTTTTCGCTCATGACGTCAATAATGAGAATGAGGCTGTCTCATTACAACACTATTTATTATTAGGAACATCTTCATTATTTCACTGAGCGTATATAAACACTACCGCCTCCCCCTCCCCCCCCCCCTTAGTACGCCCCCTCTGTCTGGACTTGAGCTCTCGGCTCCATCGCATCGACGCATGTGCATCTTGACTGCAATCGTCCCCAGGGCTTTTCGCTCACGACGTCAATAATGAGAATGAGGCTGTCTCATTACAACACTATTTATTTTTAGGAACACGTGTATAACATCACGGAGCTTTCTTTTCCTTCTGAAAGCAAACAGTGCGTCCTCTGTCTAACGCCTACATTTATTTTCCCATTGCGCTGCATGTGTCGTAATTATGCCGGCATAATTTTGAGCATGCTGGTGACGAAAATTATGCTGGCATATAAAAAAGTTCTTAGTCATGTTCCCGGGTTATGGGGTCGTGAGAGAGTACAAACAAATACGATACGCATTTTCCTCGGAGTGTAACGTGGGCTTAGGGCAAAAACTATTGCTGAAACTATTGTAAGCAATTATTAGTCCGGTCCCGAACTAGAACACTATTTTCGACGCGATGAACGGTCAAGTGGACTCTCTAAGTTATTGTTCAGTCTTAGGAAAGGCTGATGCAGTGTAATTTTTAAAAATAGAACATAACGACACTTTGTGAGCATAATCTATAGATGGAGTATTAATATTGTATGCCTGAGCATTCAACAAGAACTTCCGGTATTAAAGGGGTCCCACCCCGCCACTCAAGGATGCGTCGGCCACTTCTGTGTAAAAACAACAGCTGTTATTCTTCCCTATCACTAATAAAATTAAACATTTATTTCAAGAAACGTTCTGTTAAAAACATAAGAAATTTGATGTTATGTTTTGGTTTCAGAATTTGAAGCTATTACACAACGGAGCATTTGAGTTCAAAACTTGCCCGCAGGGATGAATTGATCGAGTTCTTAATTTAAATTTCAAATGCGAAAGGTGTGTTTGATATAACGGAACTTCTGTCGCGAACAAATATATTGCTAGCAGATGCCGCAATCTAATTATTTCTCAAATTAGCCGACTTGGTTCCGTACACAACAAAAATAATTTAACAAGTAATACCACTACAAAACTGTCGAATTTTCGAAAGCTGAGAGACGATTCGAAGATAAAAATTTCAGCGGCTGGGATGGAGAGGCCGTGGTGTATTACATATACAAATATAGTAAGCAAAAACAGTTGGGCGAGGAAAATGCTTTAGATAAGCTACAGAAATCCGAGACAAAAAAGTCATGAAAGTTTTTTTTTTTTGTTTCGCCCAAGCTATCTGATATCAACAGTTAACAATAACAATAATTAGACAAGTCAAGCATACATCATTACGTAACTTCCCACGCAGGTGCCATGTGTGACAAACCCATTTTGAAAAAGAACGCCAGTATAAAGCACCACTCTGCTTGCACTGTGATTAGACGAAAATCATTCTCGTATAAGTTCTAAGTTAAAGGAGAATCTTGACTTTATAACAGAAACGGAGCACTTTCGTTCTTGTTTTTAAAGAGTTGTGAAAACACACATGCACCCGTGAAAATTTTGCAGAACTTGAAGCAACTGTGAAAATTGGCTTAATCTTGTTTCCAAAACATCCAGTCGTGTTTTCACCGCAATCCTATGGAAACACGAATGAACGCTTTCTAAATAGGGAAATTCTGCGGTGGAGGGTCATAAAAAGAATTCGTTCACACCTTTAGTCTCGTGTTCCCGAACAATCTCTAAGCCTGGAACAGTTTAAATTTACGTTCTAGTTTTACATCACAAGACAAGGCAAGCAACACTCCTGATCACAAGTTATGCGAGACAACGTGTGCGATTTAGGGGCTAATTGCTTAAATTAGTAGACCAAGTCGATCTACATTTCGGGGTGATTTGATTCCGTCGAACGTGCAGAAGCTGTTGTTCTAAGCGAGGCAACCTTGGCCTATGCCGTATCTCTGCCTCCTCCCCCAACCCTCCCCTCGGGCCAAACAAGCTGGGTCAGCGAATGAAAACAGCGTTTGGATATGTTGTTGTTTCTCTGGGCAACTGAGATCAACTGACGCATGTAATCCGGCATGACTTCATAAAGCCAACTTGACAACAATGTGCACTTTACCTTAACCTCATCAGGAAAGCATGTATTACACGGGAACATTCGCCAAACCACACACGAAGGGGAGCTTTCGCTTCGGTGATTCACAAACGGCCTTTGTCAGTCATTTTAACCTGTTCTTTTGTTTGTAAAATACTTGTTTTCTTGAGAGTTTCGTTTTCAATCGTTTATTTTTACCCTTACCTTTCTTCGTCTTCAGTAGTTATCAATACTTAACTAAAATATCGATCACACACAACGTACACATGAATTACTAATAGTCCAAAAATATCTTCCCGTGCGTCCAAGTTTTCCGGTTGTCGTTTCACGAGAACGGATGTCGGAAAACGCGTGTATGGATATGCTTGCATAAACGTATTGAAACACAGGTTAACAGTGAGTTTCTTGTTGTGCAAATCGCAACAAGCAAGGATTTGGTTCAGTGGGTACAATGTCACGAGACCTTAGCCTTTCTAGCTCTTTCTCATGTTTCTTAGCAAATTTCACAGCAAATGAAAAGAAAATCTTTTCCGCATAGTCTTGTTAAAGTTACTAATTTTAAAATTATCGATGATTCTTAAGTTTGTATGCCATAATTCTATTTTGGTTATAATGAGAAGTCCCTCCGGCCATTCGGCTCTTGAAAGGAAAGTTGCATGACGTCATAGCCGTGTTTTAGCCCTAATTCTCAGGACCCCTCCATCTTTGAGCGCGTTGCAGTATCAGCCCATATTCAATGTAATCTTGAAGGAACAGATAAGTCTTGCCTCTTTTAGTCTTTCTCGCTATTTCCAACTTAAGCATGGCGGATATCAGGTTGTCAACCCTACGGGTCCCACGTGACTGAGGCGATTTGAAACACGTCGATCAAAAACAAACACGTTCAAACGCCAGGTGCTGGGAAAGAGGCACACGTTCAGGGCATGTGGATTGCGTCAAATGTAGTCACTTTTACGTGAAAATTGTTATTCCGCTTTCACCGGCGGTTCTTCTTCCTTGAGTCGTTTATGTGGCGGTTAGCGGCTTCAGCGACCGATCGATTATTCAATGGTCGAACTAGGTGGTCTGTTGAAGAGGTAAGATTTTTCTTCACAAACGGGTTACACGTACTAGCAGCCTACGTGAAATGAGATGTCAACTTACCCCTTCGCAGTGGTCTTTTTCCTCGTTTAGTTCCGTTCGCATTCTTTGAGCTTGTTTGTCCGATTTTCTCTCACAGAAAGGCTGTTATCAACACGAAAAAGTCATTCGCCGTCCGAAATTCGCGTTGTGTTGTTCTCGGATGCTATAAAATCTCTCTGACGACTAGAATGCGCTCCGCAATACGTGAACCATCTCGGTCAAAAACGTGAACGACCACCATGTTTGGTCACATGCCACGTTGCCAGCGAAGCAGTTTTTTGACGTTTTATCGCGCACAATTCACTTCATCGACTTATTTGTCGCTTTTTGATTCAAAAGAGTCTGTATAACATCGTTATAAGCGATGACTCGTACTGTAGTTGCAGACATGCTATAGTTCACGTTTAGTCTCTTTCCGCCATTCCTATCGTTCTTGCGATTTTTGGCCTGTCTACATTACTTGGGTGGAACAGATCTGGCTTACCGGATTACATTCTGCGTAACCAATAAGTGTTTGAACGTTCTTTTTTGACCAAAACAGGAGAACTGATAACTCTTCGCTTGTAACTGAGGCTAGAAGTAGAAACCGCACGTGCATTCAATTCCCTGAAGGCGCTTTCTCGACGATCAATTAATAAAAGAAACTAACAGATTACTCGATTTCGTCTTGTCGACGATTCCTTTAGGGAATATTTATTACCGTTTACTTAGGAATAAATTCTAGTTTTGAGAAATGCAACAGAGGTTTTAGTTTATGTCATTAAACTCGTAATATCGGGCACGTGTAATTTGATTGTGAGAGTACATTCACACAAGTACGCCTCAAAGTCATTATAATTCCAGTTTAAAGCAACATTATTCGCATTTCAGTCTATCGTGAAGTGAAAAATTTTATTCTTTCTCTATGATGTAGTTTTGAGATTAACTTTTATCGTGAAAATTCCGCTTTCGACAAGGAAATTCCTCCGACCCATGGGGGCACTCTAGCTCAAGCCGATGGACGATACGTGAATATGGCCGATGAATTTACGAGTGAAATTTAGATTTTGAAGATTTTCTTTGAGAATGGAGCAGCGGAAACATTTTGGAATGTCTGTCATGTCTGCTCTTTTGTGCGTAAATGGCTGACCTTTACGTCCGGTTCTCGAATGTCTTAATAAAGTCAGTGTTTTGATCAATCACTACATACATAACTCGGGATCGTCACTAAGAACTGAGAATTCATGGTAGAAAAATCTGTCGGGATAGAACACAACAATCTCCCAGAATATCTGCGTGGAACGGTTAGAATTCAGATTTGTTTTGCTTCTGTTTTACATAGATTCTTCTAGAAAAGTTCTAGGAAACAGTAATTATGCATATAATTTGTAAGCTCAGTATTTGTTTGACGAAATTGTGTTTTGCAATATAAATTCACCATCATCAATTAATTTGGTGTGCTGAACCATTCTATTAGTACATTTATGTTAGATTTGGAAGTGTCGATTTAATTTGCACTGGCACGTTGTTCATGTACATTAATTGTATTGTTTCCAATATTCTTTGGTGGAAGACGTGATCAATGCGACATTTTACAGTGCATTATGCAAAATATTACAGCTTGTGTTGAAAAACCATTTTATCCCATAGATGCAAAACATTAAATTGAATGAATACCATTCAACCTCTGCTTAGTAGCTACTTCTAGATACAACTGCCAGGATTTTTCTTCCCAACCATTCATTGATCAGAAAAATTAATTTTCTGCCACAAGGTGGCCCTACATTACAGAGAGGTTCAGCTGTACTGTAGTCACCCCTAAATAACTTTTTACATAAATTTACTTTTTAACACATTTATTGGCTGATTTTACAGAAATTTCTCTTCCAAGTAAATGGTTTGAATTCCATATGTATTATATACATTTTTTTAAATTTCAGTGTTTGATTTTGACTAGAGCACAGTGAATCTTTGATAAAACAGAGAATATTTGTGGAAGTGACGGTTCTCAAAAATGATACAAAGGTAAGACAACATGTAAACTTAGACATTTAATTTAGGGAAAGGTAACAATGAAAATCCACAAGTTATATTAAAATTATATTTCATAAGGTATTTGGTAGAGTAAAAGAAGAACCCTGATACAGGCAAATCTCTCCTCACTAACAACTCTAGAATACAAACACATTTTATTTGGACAATTAACTTGGTTTCAGAGACACCACAATCAATATTGGACATACATTCTCTACCTGTACATTACAGACACTCAGCTTGGCCTCTCTCATGTGCTTATTAAAGAGGCTCAATTGTAATCATGGTAGAGTACCTCATTTTAGTATAATTTCTAGAGGTGAATTCATGAATCCAATATTCTGATTGGTCAAAAAGCCTAGCTTATGAGGCTATATATAAAGTGCTGGCAGTGAATATCATAATTAGAGTTCAAAGCTTGATTACCAAGCTATGAGTTGTTTTCATCTTGTTTGAAAACTTTTCCAGTGCCCATTACATTTTTTCTTGTCACCTCCCCCAGTAAGTCAGACATTTACGTCTTTTGCACTTGTTTAGTGCATGCACTACATCATCTGCAGGTACATGTTTACAACTGGATTTCTGTATGATTTTCTTTGGATAACAGCTAGTTTTTCAGACAGAAGACACCAACCGTAGGTGGTTGACAATAGGCTGCTATTCTGGTGTTCCTGGTTTAAGATTAAGTACAGGTTCATTAACTTGATTTGGTCAGTTTAGTCGCCTACTTAGTAGCGCAGTTGATTGCGTCAGTGTCAACCCTAGCGTGCACGTGTTGTGTAAACCATGCCTTGCATGATGCACAGAATGTGTGCACACTAACAAAACTAGGCACCATCCTTAAGGCATTTAAAATTGTAAACAGAGTGATTTCCTAGATCAAGAACTACTCAGTAAAGCTACCGAATAATCTCTGAGTGAGAAGTGTCTTAAGTCTTGTACTGTACATCCTCTGTAGAGATCTTTGTGATTTTTATAAAACATATTGCCCATAACTACTAATAAGTAATTACTTTTCGTACTTAATGACTGTTCAATTTGATGTCCATTAAGTCTGCAACATCCAGCATGAAACTCTTAGCATGCAAAATTATTCAGCCCTCAAGAACGACAATTGTGATGGATATTTTTGTCAGCCTTGTTAGTTCTGCAGTTACTACTGTAAGTTATGAATACGTGATATGATCCATAATGGTATGGATCTCAGCATATATGAAAGACTGCACTGTTTATATGCACAGACCCAATTTGATATGCCTCAATCTTTCTTTCTTTTTGTTTCAGGAAAGTGAGCATTAAACGAGTTCTCACAGAGATTGAGCTTGAAGACTTAGAAATTCCATCTACTGATGACCTTAGCGTACCTGAAAAACCCAGGAGGAAGACCTCAAAAGTCAGCAAGGAGGAAAATCCAGAAGAAAGCAAAACTGATCCTGTTGATAATGATAATGCTGGAGATGTGACTGAAGATCCTGGCACTAAAGTGTCAGAAGTTGATAAAAATGATATGGAGGGGAATGAAAGTCCTAAAGATGTTGCTGAACAAGATGTACAAGGTACTGAATACTTCAAAATACTATTTTTTTTTATCTATACTGAACATTTAACTTCCAATTTGTTATTCCACCGTATTGAACTTTGCGAAGTCAGTACTGAAAAGTAAGTTCATTTTATCTTGGGTGGATGTTTCAGGGCTGTCGTTAAGTTTTGAGTCACCTGTAGCCTTGTTCTCCACACCCATGGCAAACGTGTTACTGTGTGGGTGAATTCCATCAACAACAGGCAATTTTACCTGTAGCATCAAGGGAAAATCAAGCGTACTAAGCCATAACAGGTATTGCAGGTTATGGCCCTTAATGACAGCCCTGTGTTTGTTTTATAATTAATTTTTGTTTCGCAAGGTACAATTCCAGGTACACTTCTTCATTGAGCTCGTTAATATAATTATTAGATAAGTTAATATCCCTAAAAGGCTCATTGATCTAATTTTATTTAAACTGAAATTAAAGTTTTTGTTATCTCAGATTCGCAGTCTAGTACTGTTTCTGGACTGGATGACTCCTCCCAAGAGGCCAGTGGAGCCTCGTCCAAGCGACTTCGGATGTACAAGTGTGAACGCTGCAACACTCAGTACATGGGTCTGGCAATGTTGCGCCAGCACTGCAGGGATGTACATGGTGACCAGAAATACTACAAGTGCCATGTGTGTGGAAAGCTGTTCAGCCATCCAAGCAGTAGGAACATTCACTTGAGGCTGCATTCTGGAGAGAAGCCGTACAAGTGTAGCACCTGTGGCAAACAGTTCAGGGTGTCATCACATCTGAAAGACCATGTTAGGGTCCACACTGGTGAGTTACATATGGCTTTCTCATAGGTTAAACAGTGATTAAAGACTAAAAATCTTTAATAGGGTCAAGTGGTCAGGTGCCTGGTAGGTTTGAAATATTTCTTATCATAAGTCAGCTTACATTTGTGTGGTATTTGAGAAGTGATAGGATTTTTGAATAGAGTAAAACAAACAGTACCAGATGAAAGTACTTCTCAATAGCTTTTATTTAAATGGTCACGCACTAGAGTTTTATCCACAGCCTATAAAGCTAGAACAACCTGTTGTATTTTGAGGTAAACAGTATCACATGAAAGTACCATGTAATAACTTTCACTTGAATGGCCACACTAGAGTTTCATCCACAGCCTATAAAGCTAGAACAACCTGTTGTATTTTGAGGTAAACAGTATCACATGAAAGTACCATGTAATAACTTTCACTTGAATGGCCACACTAGAGTTTCATCCACAGCCTTTAAAGTTACAATAGAATCACATTACATGGCATAATAAATTGTAAGTACCTTTAGGATTAGTTCTCAGTGGGTTTCACTTCAATGATCACAGGCAGCGAGAAGCATATAACTTGAGGTTAGATTCTAGATGTGAATTGTTAACAAGTTAAGCCCAGAAATTTATAATCAAAATGTTATGCAATAGTAATCATGGCTTAATATTTTGTTTCTCAGGGGAGCGTCCGTATATTTGTGACATTTGCCAAAAGGGATTTAAGCAGTCCAGTGACCTGAAGAAGCATCGTCGCACACACACCTTGGACAAACCTTACAAGTGCCCTATCTGTCCTTCAGCCTTCACCCGTTCCCATCACTGTCGCGGCCACATCAATTCTGTCCACAAGTTCTTCAAATGTGCTTGCGGTGCTCTGTTTACCTCTGAGGATGCCTTTGAGCGACACAAAGAGCTTCATCCTTCAGTATTTCCAGAACAAGCTGATGGCGAGGAAACTCCACCAGAGGTGTCAGATTCTGCACAGAACAGTAGTGTACCAAAAGACAACACCCAAGAAGACAACGAACTACATGAAAAGAATCTGAAATTGGATGTCGCCAACCAGCTACTTGAGCTTCACAAGATAATGCAACACAGGTCCTCGTCAGGCAACACCACAGGCAGTGGATCAGAAACATTGTCAGACTCAGGGGACGAGGGGAACTCTAACAACCATTCTAAGCAGTCACCGCCCTCAAGTGAGGTGACACTTGTGAGACCACAACCAGCTCCCTCTGTTAGCCCAGTCTTGAGCTATGACAATGATCCAAACAGGCAGTCACCAAATATGAGTCACATGGAACAAGCAAGTTTCCTTCCACCAAAAATCACCAGCGAAGGTGTTGAGTTTCATTTACCTCAAGCAAGGTACTTTTACAGTTCACAGCCAAATCCTCAAGGTGTGGATTATCTGAGGTTGCCATTCCAAAGCATCAGTCTTGGAGGGAATAGAAAGCTATCACCAGAAAGAAAATTTGGACATGTCAGTGTTCCTTCACCTGAAAGACGGAAAAGTCCTCCTTCGCCTCAAAGACGAAAAAGTCCTCCTTCACCTCAAAGACAAAAAAGTCCAGTGGATCAGTTAGTTAATGGCATCCATTCTGCATTTCAGGATGTTCCCCAACATGCACAATGTATGTCACGCTTTGTGATGAATGTTGATCCTCAAAGCCAAAAAGGGAATTATAGCGTTTTTATTGAAAACAGCTTGAGAGCAGCAAATTCCCCAAAGGGCAGTGTTGAAGTGTCTAAGACAGCTGAGAGTGTAAACACTGTTCCTTGCCATCGTGTGTCTGTCATTCAATATCATTCCAGTTCACCAAAGCCTGCTAATGATGCAAAAAGTGAAGAAAGCTCGGTCCAAGGCACCCTACAGGAATGCGATTATAAATTAAGTACTTTGGCATTGTCTAAACCTGCACCTAGGACGTCGGCAAACCAGTCTTTTCCTGATCAACCACAGAACCACCATGTGCCACAGAATTATAACCTAACCATGAATAACGTCAAATATCTGGTTGGTACTCCTTCAGAAAGGATTCCCTTTGTACCACGTAATGCTGAAAGTCCCATGACACTGCAGTGGAGCAAGGAAATGAGTGACCTGGTAGGGCAATATCCTTGGGCTTTGAAACAAGAAAAGAACACTCGCGAACAGTTTCTCATGAGGGAACAAGCACTGCAGTTTTCTTACCCAAACCCTTCTTTGGAGAGCAACCAACTTAATGTTTTCTCCCAAGCTATTGCACAATCATCAAGAAGCCTGTATAATGTTCACACTTCTCAAGAGAGGTCTGTTGACATGTTGAAATATTTAGCAAGTGAACAAAGCAAACCAAAGGATACAGCAGAGAGAGAGACAGGCTCACCACCAGGTGATGATGATTCCGAGACTTCAGAAGCTTCTGAGTCAGGTGATGCACCAAATGAGAGAAAATTGTCTGGCAGTGGTGGCCAACCGTCACCATCTTCTGACTCTTTAGCAGGTGAGATTATGTTCAAGCTACAATTTGTCACACTAAAGCTTTAAATAAGTTACCCCCTCACTATAAAACCCCTTTTTACATGTATGTAGAGTGGTTGCTTGCCTCATTCTTTTTGTAAGATTGACCTGTTTCAAAATAAGTGAGCCAGAAAGCTTGAATGTCTTTGTCAGAAATTATTTCCTCTCCTGGGTGGAAAGAGGCATTGCAAGTCTTGAAATAAGTCAAAGGTTTCATTTTCATTGTTCAACTGCATGCCCTTCAAACTTCAACTGTTTCGCGGCTACTCCTAGCTGCCTCATGGTGCAGAAACTGAAGTTAAGCACCAAGAGCTATGAACCAGTTGGGGTTAAGAGGGTCCTCCAGACAGAATGCTGGAGAGTAACCTGCAATGGACTTGCATGCTATCCAGGGGGGAGTAGAAATACTCCTAACCACCTTATGCTGCAAGAACCATGCAGAGTCGGCCTTGGGTTAATTGTGTCCCTGTAGGCCAGCTTTACTTTGAAGACCAAACCTTTTGACTATGCAAAAGATATCACATTCAATATAATTAAATATAGTGTATGTATCTTTGATTGTTGCAATCTGTAGATATGATTATTTGACTTAAATATATCTGATCCGTAGGATTTTTGTTCACTGAATCCATTTTTTCACTCTGATGAAGGTTGACAGATGCCACTGAAAATTCAGTGTACAAAAAATTCTACAGATCGGATATATTTAGTTCAAAGTAATTTTTTTCTCAACAGCATTTGAAGTAGTTTTCTGTACCATTTTATTGTTATAGAGCAAAAGGACTCATCAGACAGTTCTGTTCACCACTGCGAAGTCTGCAATAAGACGTTCTCTCGTTCCAGCCTTCTGAAGCAGCATTCTGTTATCCATATGGGTAACAAGCGATTTAAATTCCGCTGTGAGGTGTGTGGCAAGATGTTTCGTACACGCAGCCACCTGCGTGATCATATGCGTATACACACAGGTATGGTTACTTTCATGACTTTACATATTGCAAGCACTTATGTATTATTTGTATTTTTTTGGTTGTATTTTTGTATTTCTCCACTTGATGACATGAATACGATGAAAAGAAGTGGAAAGGGCAAAATGTAGTAGATTAATTATATGCCCTTTTAATTTAATTTTATTATTTTGACCATGAGCATCAATGTTTTTGATGCACTAATAAAAAATTAATGAAAATTATACGGAAATCATTGTTTAGTGAAATGTCGGTGATGTCTGAGTCCCACATTTGCCCCAAAAGGTAATTAAAATACCATTAAACTTAATGAATGCATGTCATTGTACTGCAATTACTATGGAATAATTTTCCCTTCAGTTGATATTTATTTTTTTGTGTTTTATTCTTTTAGGTGAGCGACCATTCAAGTGTCATATCTGTCAAAAAGCCTTCAAACAGTCCAGTGATCTTAAGAAACACATCAACCTTCACACCGGAGCCAACCAGTTCAAGTGTGAAGAATGTAATATGGAGTTCCGTAGAGCTGATGCACTTCGTAAACACAAACTGGGACACAAAGTGGGAAACATGCCCTGTGGACATTGTGGGAAGAACTTTTTGCACATTGGAGCATTAAGAGCACATAGAGCTATGCATAATGGTAAGACTGAAAATGTACGTGTATATGTATTTAACAACTTTGTATCCCATGTTGTTAGGACTTTGTTTTCGGTGTCTCAATGTGATTTCCTGGGTAGCCTTACTGTCTAGCAGCTACCAGTCTACACAAGGTCTGAGTTTCAAATTTAGTAGTGTATGTGTGGCTATGTTATTTGATCCATTCAGGGCTCGAAGTTAACTTTTTCGTTCGGGAGCCAGCTGGCGACTAATGGAAAAATTTTGGTCGCCAGATTGTAAATTTTGGTCGCCAACTTCTTTCATAAATAACTTTAACTAATTTTATACGTTACTTTGCATGCAAGAAAAGTCACAACTGAAGAGCGAAAACAATTAGAAACAACACGAGTAACACTTAGTTATGAAGCTACCATTGTTCTCACGTGATATGTCTCTGGCCCGAAGGTGATGGTTGTCTCCATAGTCATTTTAAATAAAGCAAAGCATAAAACGTTTTAAGTCCGTGGTTTTCATTGCGAGACAAATACGGGTACTTGCGTATTTTCCCTTTGCTACTTCTTCGAAATGCCGTTCTTTGTTTTCGACTTGCTTTCCTCGAAGGATTCAAAGTTTGGATTAACCTTTTGGCTGAATCTTCATTCCCCGCATGTAAAAACTCACGTAATTCCTTCAACTGACTGATATCTGCCGCCATTTTTGCGGCAAATGAAAAGCACATGGTGTTGAAGTGCGCCTGCGATCCCAGTTTCGGAAGAAGCCGCTGAAACAATATGGTGCCCCGTGGACGCAGTACGCAGTATCGACCTGTCGAAATACATTCAATTTTTTCGATTATCTTGTAATATTCAGACATTATTTTACTGGGAACGGAAAGGTGACTTGTATACTAGCTACCATATCTGATTGATTTCCTAATATAAAGATTTAAAAACAAGTTGTTTCGTGGTTTTCTTTAGTTATCGGACAAAATGCGAGTCGCCAGCTGGCGACCAGTTCTGAAAATGTAGTCGCCAGTGCTCAAATTTTGGTTGCATTGGCGACCAGTGAGTCGCAATTTCGAGCCCTGCCATTGGTGAGGAAATCTCACCAACAGAGAAAGACCTTGAAATAACCTAGTTAAAGATTAAGCCCATTGGGTCATAAGGCTTGCACGAGACAATCTAACTCAGGAATTGGTAGGATGGAATGCCAATCCGTTGCAGGTCATTGCCCAGCATTGTTGTGTCATACCAGCAATTTGCTGGCACCAGATTTATACATTTAAGGTGGAGCATAGTTAATAGAGGGGACTGGTTATGATGTTCGGCAAACATCAAAGGAGCAAAGAAAGACGCCATGATTTATGTTGGAAGGTCCACGACAGTGCACAATCTTTTGTTTTGCGCTCATACACTATGCATGAATTACATAACAAAGGCGTTTTTATTGGTTAGTTCCTCAGTATGGAGTAAACAACTATTGTGTTTTGTGCACTGTCAAGGCCAAAAAAGCAAACAAAAACAAACAACAAAGAACTTTGTCGGGTTTCATAACCATTCCCCTCTATTATTTATGGGTGGAGAGAGGCACAGTCTCTGAGGGTTTAAGTGTCTTGTTCAAGAGTGCAGCTCAATTACTCCAGCATCTTACGCTACTGCACATCACACTAACCTGCAGCAATCAAATTTAAGCTGATTTGAGACTTTTTTTACACACACTTGAATCAAAAGTCAGTTGAATTTAACTACCGTCAATTCTGTCTCAACAGTTCAACCTGTGAAAGCAAGCAGATCCTTTCATCGCTGCAACTACTGCTTCAAGACATTCACAAAAGCAGAGAGCTACAAGGTTCACATTGAGGAGCACACTCGAGAGCAGGGTGGAGCGGTTGTGCTGTTTGACTGTAAAATCTGTTCCATGAAGTTCTTCACCGAGGTTGAATTCCAAGATCATATGAATATTCATAATGGAAACCGCCCGTACAAGTGCTTTGTTTGTGATAAAGAATTCTGCATTGCCGAACATCTGCAAGATCATGTCAGACTTCACTCTGATGCAACTTCGCGTGTCAGGTGTGAAGAAGGTAGCAATAGATTTCAAATGCCAGATGACTTAATGAGGCATTCAGCGATACATGCTTGATGCCATTATGGATTAAATTTATGTAACTTCTGTATGCTGTACACTGGACAAAACTTGGGCTTGATCAACTTGAACTGCTGATTTGCATATGAATATTAGCAATAGCAACTATTCTTTATGCCTCGTTCTGAAATACTTGATTTTCCTATCCAATAGGAAGTAAATCAGTGATCCCAGTTGATCTGCTTTGAGTTTTGCCACTGTGTAATGTTTCTTAATTCTTTAACTCTCTTTCACTAGCTAATGAGCACTAACATTTCAGGTTCAACGGTATGAAATGTAATTGATAGCATACTCAGATTTGAAAGACCTCCATAATTTGTCCCTAGAAGGTACAGTGTTCTTAAGCTAAGCTGGCAGCACATTAGCTTATTTCGAGAGGGCTCTCAGAACAGTATCATGGCAGGTATTCTGTTGTGACTCACAGAGGGGCCTGTGATTTTCTTTGAAATGCTTGTGGGCACTTGTGTTTGGTTTCTCAAGGAGTAAGCCTGCAGTACACTGCAGCTGACAAAATTTGATAGGATCTCTTGAGACCTGTCACTGCCAGGTATTGCTGACAAGTCACAAATTTCTTGTTAAGTTGTCTAAAAATCTTTTGTTGGCAAGTGAGTCAGCCAGTATGTCACTGGCTTTAGCAGTCTTATCAAGGCTATTGATAAGCAGCTGGTAACCTACAGCAGCAAATACTTGAGAGGCACTAATGACAGGTCAATAAATCTGGTATTGCATCTAGTTGTAACATGTAATTTGTGATAATCGGTATTGATCAACGTGCCCATGCCTCATAACCTATGAATGTGTTGGGTTGTGTAGTGCAGGCAAAATTTGTAAATAGCAATAATGTTACAAGTACACTGATAACAGTTATAATTTATAATATATTATATTAACTAGCTAATTTCTGTCCAGAAATTACTATTTTACTATCTTTTATTGTAGATCTGTCTCTATCTCTATGTTAAGAAAGTATGATTTTATTAGAAACGTATTTCATTTAGTTCTTTAATCTCAAGTTGATCAGTGGTCTTGAAATTGAACTTCGCCTGGAATAATAAGTTTGATGTAGTGGAAGTACTTGAACAAGAGATAAGTCATCTGATAGGAAATCAAATCCATGTTTCTGTGGAAAGCAAGGTTGTGATTGTTTCATAATTAAGCAAAAAGGCTTCACTTGTATAGTTAATAAAGTCTTAGTGTATTTATAAATTTTGTTAGCCATTATAGACCCTATTCACAAATGGCTGCCAATTTAAAATTCTTTTGTATGCATTTAAATTAGCCCAACTAACCTCTTTTGGGAGTAAAAATTCTTGTGAATTTTCAACTCAAAAACGAGGTTAGTTGGGCTAATTTTAATACTTACAAAAGAATTTTTAATTGGCAGCCATTTATGAAGAGGGTCTTTAATGTGGTTTCTTTGGCCATAAACTGCACCAAAAATGAGTTTGTAGACATAGTTATCAAACTTTTTACCAGTAATTACTTGTAATTTGAAGGTTGTTTTTACAAGAGATTGCTTGATTTGAAGGTGCACCACTCCAGATTCTGTCAAAGGAATTCTTACAATAGATATCAGATTACAGTTCTAAAAGAATATTAACTTGGCCTTGGGATAAATATTCTACTTTGAATTCAGAGTTAAATAATATTTCTTCGAATTGGCAGAGGACAACATACTAAGTATTTTAAACAATGCAATATCTTTAATAATAGTATGCTCTTCTTGGGTGAGAAATTTCATCAATGTGTGGATGATATTATTATTGAAACTTATTAATATGAACCATATAGATTGTGGTTACATCTTGCATTTAATTTATTGTCCAAAATAGTTACTGAGTGTATTACTTGGTCGGCAGGCCGACTTTTTCTTTCTAACTTTAGTTTAATTTATTAGGTAAGTAACTTATAATCAGATCCAGAATAGGATTATTATAGTCATATACAGTGATTTTCAAAAGCAGATTTAGAGTTAAACAGATTTTAAAGTTTCTATCCACATCGACAAAAGCATTTCCAATTCTGCTAAGTTATACAAGTAGTTTAAAATCCAGACTCTTACACAGTTGAGGTTCAAATCTTCCCACTACAATTAACATGAAACAAGAGCTTCGTGATCATGCATAAGAAAACAAGTATTCATGCTCTCAAACAAGAGATCTGAGCAGAAAAACAATCCATTGCCATTATGTAGCTGTACATTTACCTAGATGGTGATTGTTTGTCAGATTTTTTGACCAATCAGAGACCACTTGTAATAGTTGTTAGTGCAGTTGTCAGTGAGTTGACATGTAATTGTGGTCAGTCACTTCTGTTTTGTATCAATTGACTCTTTTGACTCTTGCATTTTTTTTAATTAAGAGTATTTGATCACAGCTCAACTGCAGTGACAGCTATTGGTTAATGTTATGCCATAGGTTTGGATTTTGGCTTGGCCTGTCTTGGGTGCTACTGAGAAAACGCAGTTTACTTTGGTGTTGATAGTAATATTATTGGACGGAATACTGTACAGTTTAAGGTGAAATCAGTCAATAATTTATTGAAATTACCAGCATGTTTACTTCCTGAATTGTAAGATGCAAGGGCCCATTTATCCCCAACTGTAACAAAATAACAGGAGGTTGGTTATAAAGCAAATGCCATATTTTATCACTTTAACCAACAGATAAACAGAAAGAACCCATTAATAAGGCTAGTAATAACTACCAATACATGGAGTTTGTGGCCACTTAAAACAATCCAATCACTAGGACTTGTAACAGTTATTGAACACCCATATGATCATGTTCCAATTACAAAAGTAAGTACATGGAAAGTCCAAAAGATGTATTATACTGTAGTGTGGGGTAGCAGCAGTAACAGTGACAACTTAAGATGCAAGACAATAATTTGTCAGCATGTTGAGATTATATGAAATAAAGTGACATCTGATGTTCAATGTTGTGAGATCATTTGACTTGTTAGAAGGCTCTCCCCAGTCTCAGTCTGTTTTGACCTCTTGTTCAGAGGCCTCCATGTTTGCCATGATAGGAATGTTTTGCAGTTTCACTGCATGGAAACTTGCTGAATGTGAATGAACAGGGAACTTCCAAAGCTAACACCACTAGTCTCATAGTGCACCTGAATGCTTGCATATGGTTAGCCTCATTCTTAGATGGTCCAGGTTGCTTGAGGCCCAACACACACTCTGAGAAGGGAGAGAGAGTGTGTGGCCGTGAGTGACCTGGACTATCTGAGAATCAGGCTAGCATATGACAATCAGCATAGTGCATTTTATAGTAGAACACTCTACTCAACACATGATGGAAACTTTATTGTCTCATTTACTTTTTATTCACATAAAACATGTTATAGCATGCTGATGATGACAATTCTGATATATTTTACAAAACCACACACTAAGGATTTTGAACTATAAATATAACTCTGATCATGGCCACTTTCTTACTAATAGTTGACCAGACAAATCCTGACAACAATAGTATTTATATATTCAGATAAATAGTGTGTTAATTTGCTACAACTTGCAAGTAATAGAGTGTAACACATCCAACTTCATCTAACTCACCAATTAAAAAAAAAATATTCTGTCCTATTACTGTCAATCAAAATTAATGTGTCATTCCAGAAAACATCTATACCAACTCCATGGAAGGTTTTGGTCTGAACAAGAGGGGACCAAGAGGGGACTTTGAGAATCCAATGTCTTTTAAGTCAGAGACTATACATGTAATCTGCAGTGGGGTGGGTGGGAGATCGATTAAAAAACACCTGCAAGAGGAAGAGGCATTACTCTTGGAACAACACAATATAAAATGTTTGTTGTGTTGTTCCAGAAAATATCCACACCCCTAACTCCCATGGATGGTTTTTTGGTTTGAACAACCCATCCATCTGGAAATTCCAGTTCTAGTTCATATCATCCTTTTAAAATTTTGGCTTTTCACCCTAGGAATTTCTAACAACCCTCCTTGGGGAAGAAATAGATATTTTCTGGGGCCACACATTGTATTTTTGACAACAATGAAGTAGCATAAATAGGCATTTTGAAATGCTTGATATATTTATTCCACACACCAAAACTATATTTTTGTTAATTTGTACATAAATTTTAGTCAAACATTAAACTATGGTCGACTGCATAATGTTCTAATTTAGTTTGAAACTATGAACTCTAATTTCTTTTAACTGAAAACATTGATTATCTAACAAGACATTTTAAAATGGCCATTTTACATGTAGTTTGGAAACTGAAGCCCTGTGTGGTACAGCAGAAAATTACATACCGGTAACTTAGCTAAAAACAAAATAACAATTCAATGAGTTGTCAGATATTTTAAAAACATGATTTGTAACAATGTGGCATGGAACAGTTGTCAAGTTAAATGAAATTTGTGAAGACTAGAATAATTAATTAAATACACTGCAAGCAAACTTTAAGTATACTTGATGCAGAAATACTGATGCATATAAACTATTTTAACCTGCACAGTCAAACATTTGCAGGGAATACCGCATTAAAATGGAAGTACATAATTATAATAATAATTGTTCCATCAGTTTATGTGTGGAACATCATCATTCAATGGGAAAATGTGCCTTTGAGGGAGCTGCCCAATAAAATACTCCAAGAACCCAGTGCAGTGTTGTGACAATTCTCAACTGCATGTCATATTATTTCAAAGTATTCATTGCACTACTGCAGTAACTTTTCCTGTTGGAGCTAACGCCTCCAGCATGGCTGCTGTCATGGCATTGAGGTCATACTCATGCCGCCAGGCCCAGTCCTTTCTTGCATTACTGTCCTCCAGAACCTGGGGCCAACTGTCAGCTACAAGGGATATAGATGCATCTCAAATTATTAAGTAAATGGATAGCAAAAACCTTAAATTACCGCTTGACTTATAACCCTTCTGACTTATCAAAATTATTGAATTAATATGTCCTGTCAAGAACATGGAACACAGATATCATGTGTATTTACTAAAGGCATCAGCGGTCGAGTGTCACTCGATACTTTTTATTGATACCCTTGATTGAGATCTCGATCAATAATCAATCGCCATCCCAATCGATACTCGGTCGACACTCTATCGACACTTGATCAACAGTCGCTTGATAGTCAGCC